TTTGGCTGTTAGGCCCTGGGACATTCAACAGAGTAAAAATACTTTTAAGCGGATTTTTAACTCTTTCTCAGACCTGCCTATTTCAACAGACCATCATGCCTTCCTGATTATTTTTCCTGAAATATTCTGTCTGTACATTGGTCATTCTGGGTTTCTGCTGACAGGAAAAAACTTAGGGTAGTCACATCCATCACAAAACTATCATATATTTGTGTGCATTTTACAGCTTGAACATAGAGGTAGTTGCATCAGCACAACCAAGATATTAGTAATGCAGCAGCAAAAAGAAGTAGCTGATACAAAGGAATTAAAAATTTTTTAAGCTGGCATTACAGCTGGAGATATTTACATAAGTACCTGTGGCAATGTAGCCATGGATATGATCTCTCAACATAAATCTAGCATCAGTAAGTCCATTCCTATATTCCCAATAGTGCAGTAAATTTGTAACCTAAGTGGGGCATGGTGAGCAGTCTAGCTGAACCAAAACAGACCTTTGTGTTCTGTGGAGGCTTTTGAGCACCAGTCCTGCTCTCTGGGAGCACTTTGTGCACATACCCAAGAATGATTGTTACATAGATATTCTGCATTTATCTTTGGAGGCAATGTGGGTTGGGATGGGATGAGTTGGGGGAAATGGAGACATAGCCAATTAAAGATGAACAAAAGTGGAAATTGTTTTGATTTTCCATACCTACTTTCTCAGCAGGGAAGAAATATTCCCATATTATGGGTGCAATATATAGAGTCAGCAGCTCTATAGAGGCACATGTTTTTGAAGTAGATAATACTTTGTACCATAGTCTTTTCTTATATTCGTACTTCCTCAGGTGAACAAAGTTACCCGGGTCACATCCCATCTTATAATGATATTGTTATTTGAAATATCTTGCTTCCCTTGATGTTATGCCTTTCTCTGTGGAAAATAAGTGAGACCTTTGTGATTACTGCATATTAATTACAAAAATATTTGAATGAATAGGGACTTTGTCATTCTGAACCCCAAGTATAACTAACAACGGGATCTATCTCAGTGGTTTTAACTTGCCAGAAGAGAACACTAAATATAAAACAAAACAAAAACTTGCATAATGATAACAACTACAAAAATTCACAAAACACGCCTGTAAGATAGCTTGTGAGCCAGTTTTCATTTCTAGTTTATTTCATTTATTTAAGTATCCCTCTTTTACTCAAAATTTTGGCAAATGAATACAACACACAGTGCGAGAATTTTCTCATGTCTTTTAAAATATTTCCTGTGTAGCTTCTTAGGTCCAGCTTTTGCTCCTGAAGAGAATGAGCAATTTGAGGTTCTACTTATTTCACTGGATGTTCATTGGCCTTATTAGAGACCTACCTTAACAAGGGATGAAAAATGTGCCTCAAGTGCTGTTTCTTTCCATGTCACTGCAAAGGCATGATGGACAGTTAAGTCTAGATGTAAGTGATGATATTGCAGATGGTGGTGTTTGACTAGACGAGCTGACCAAAGTGCTTGTACAGGAGCTCCAGACAATAAACACCCAAGAAATGTGTGGTACATTAAGTGGGGGCTTACCTGAAAAGTCTGTTATATTAAAAAATCATCCTTTACTGTCTCTGAAAACGCCTATTCTCAAGTCAAAGTGGAAGTGGAGATTTCTCAGTGTTTATACACCTGTGCAAAGGCAGTACCAGATCAATGTCTCCTCAGGACTTTTTTGTACATGGATTTTTTGTACATGGATGGTGCAACAAGAACAGTTAGAGGTCAGAATGTCTAAATACAGACTGCCTCTCGCAGCCAGCAATGTCCAGCTCTGAGCTGGCTGTCACATAACCACCCCTTGCCAATCCGTGGGGGCTGCCTGTCTGCAGGAGCAGAGCAGCTGGGGCAGGCAGTGCCCAGGGCTCAGCTGGCCCCGTGACATCTGGTGTGCATCTCCAGACCACCTCGTGGAGTCTACTGAAAAGTAGCGCACATGGCCATGATTCTGGCTTTCCATTTTCAAGCTGTAATGAAATCCCTTTTTGTTTGGATGTGCTATGAAGCCCTATGATCTATTTTAGCTGGATTACCAGAGGCAATTTTTTTAAATGCTGCACTGCCAAATGTGCTAATCCATCTCAAGTTACGTCACGGATATCCACAGCATATGAAAGTGCAAGTTGGCCTGGCATCGTTAGAACTAGTAGGTAATAAAGTAAACTTTATTACTCACAGTGGGTTTAGAATATCTTCCAGTTATTTAGTAAATACGTATCTATATGTTACATAAAGGCATTCAGCAATGATTTTCAGGAAGCTTGCCCTGCAGTTAGAAGTAAAATACTTTTTCTGTATTTCATAATGTTAAAAAATAAAGACAAGAGCAGACCAGCTGAAGAACTGCAGGCAATGCCCTCTCTGCACAGCTTGAACTCTCCCTATATTTATCTGAAGCAGATGTTCCAGGCAGGATGCACACTGCAGCCAGAGGTGAGGACGGAGGTGTACAGGACTTGAATCCATTTCAGTACAGCTCCCACATCCTGTTTACACATAGCTGCTGGCCTGAGAACAACACTGCGGGGAAAAAAAAGGAAGGGGTGGGGGCTGTGATAGGAAGGAACAGTTGATTGGAGTCATGATACTGACACCACTGCTAGGCATGTGCATTGGGAGTGCTGCAGATTGCGGTTCACTCCACATCTCCCACTGCCAGCAACATTTTCTCTGCTACTTTGGCACGCTGTCTTCTGTCATAAGGAAGGGGAATAGAAGAGAGAAAGAGCACTTCCTTTAAAAAAAAATAGAAGACAGCTCACCTGCAGAGACACTATGCTTTCTCCGCTATTCAGCAATGCTCCACAGATTGAAGGAAAAACAGAGCTGGAATTTACTGTGCTAGCTTTTCAGTTTCATTCAAATCATGGGTAGATTTTTAATAGTAGGAAAGGTCTTGCTGAATCACCAATGGGCAATGAGAGTTATTCATAATGCTAAGCTCCATTTAAACAGTCATTCTGTTGGAGGATGGATTTTGCAGGCTAGGTACTTAGTGGCGATTTGATTTCTACATACATGCAGCAGTGAAAGGTCTGCTTTTTTTCCATGCACTGAATACGCATTTCCATTTCAAGCCTCATTCCCTACAGCAATTCCACATCATCCACACATACTCCTGATTAATGTTATGGAGATAGTAAGAGGAGCATATATACATTCTATGTCTTTTTTTTTTTTTTTTTTTTTTTTTGTTATTAATTAAAAAAAAAAAAGTGGGGGCCCAGCTTTTCCTTGTCAAAGCTTCAGAAAGCTGCTAATGGCAAATTTCCCAGGAGGTAGAAATGGAAGAAGCAGTTCTTCCAGGTTGTTTTTCACAAAGTTCACAACACGGGCTGGGAACACTATGTATCAGTTAGGCGTCCTTGTAATATCATATTCTGCAGAGATTGGCTACTGGCTTCACATCTCCATGGTCATGCAGAGATACAACACGGGGTAGCTTGAAGAACATATATCTTCCTCTGCTAAAATGGTATGAACTTATCAACATCATGGGTATCTCTTCAGCTCATTTTTTAAAATACTTGAGGAGCAGAACATATGTGTGACACGTTTAGTGCCAGAAGTAATGAAGTACTTTATTTGACTAGGACAGTATAAAAGAAGCTGAAAACTTATTAAGAAGTCTGGAAAATTTCATTATTGTAGGGTTTTATAAATCTATTTTATCTCCTACTAATGAGAATATAAAATAATAAAATTGCAACATAAAAGTTTCTACTTCTTTGAACCTTGAACAGACAAACTTCTTTACCAATGCTGGTTGCTTTTTAAAGAAAAAAAAAATCACACTCAAAGCTTTTCTTTTTTATCCATGAAGTTTCAGTGGGAGACAGCAACTTCTAAACAATTGGCTGAGATAGGCTGCATTTCCTTGGATGCTTTGCTTTTCTTTATTATGCTTGCATTATTTTGTTATGCAAGCAACTACCATGGCATCAGATGTTGATTTTCTTATTTCAAATTCTCTAAAAGACCAGAAGTTTGGGATCAAACTGGAAGACAGAAGGAAAAATTTAATTCTGTTTTGTTCTTAAGTCTTTCTTTTAAGCTTCAATCTATGTTGTGCTTGAAATTCAATCTTCAGATAAGGAACAGCAGCCAATCTCCTTGTTGGTTCCCCTTTGTACAAAACAGCCAATTGAGTTTCTTTTTCTCTGAAAAGACTATAAAAAAGGCAAATTAAGACTTTACTATATTATTGCTAGTTATCCCTTCTCACATTTATGTAGCTTTTTATTTACAGTGTTCGTTAAAAACTTTTCAAACTGCATGTGGAAAAAGCACCACATCAGTACTAAAAAGTATTTGTGTCAAGGTCAGTTGGAGACTGTTTGAAAAGTGTTTAATCTTGTGTCACAAAAAGCTTTAGAGCAGGATGAAGCACTCTAATTGGAAATGCAGATACTAACTAGGGAAGGAGACTATTTTATCTTTCCTAATATTTTCTATTTCCATATTTTTTTCCAGTATTTCACTGAAGAATTAGGTCTTTTGCATCATTTTTTGGTGGTGTCTTCAAATGTCTGGCATAGAATTTGGTGTTAAAGTTCATGAAAACTAAAATGTTTTAAGGAAAACCAGATACTGGTAGACAAACAGTAATATACCATTTCCTGACTTTTAAGCCTTTGGCCTTCAAAGAGAGGGTATGCTTTGCTACTGCCACATGGAAATAGCCCCAGGATGGTCCCTAAGACGAAGGTCTTGTGAATAAGAGCACAGTATCAAAGATGTGTAGGAACTGGAGAATGACAATCAAATAAGTGGTATAACACTCATATCCCTTTCTAGCCAAAAATAGAATAGTAGCTGAAAAAAGCCTGGGAGAAAGCAAGGATATCAGCTCAGCCTTATACATTATATATTTTAAGCCAAGCTTCACTTCTACACACCTTTTACTGGAAGTACGATCTCTTTTTTTTTTTTCTTTTTTTTTTTTCTTTTTTTTTTTTTTTTCCTACTGTAGTAGAAATACGAAATCATGGCTTGAAACAATAATTGAGCTCCTGATGGGAAGGCAGGACCAACCAAGGGGAGCTCAGGTGCATGCAATTCACCTGAGTGATTGCACCTGCTAGAGCCAGGATCCATTCCTTCCCAGACCTCATTTAAGGGCTGGCAGTGGAGGTAAGGGTATCTGGCTGGAGATTCCTGTCTACTGGAGGTCCTCTAAAGGTAAGCAGTTTTTCTTCCTTTGTTTCTGTGTGCGTGACTGATGCACTGGGGCTTGTTCTCATTTGCTGTAGACTAGGATTTGTGCTACTCTCCTCTCATTGCTGTAGGGTCCTCTGCATTATAGCATTACAGGTCCTATTTCTTTTTCTTGCATCTGAGCTTTCTCTAAGTGATTTCCTGTCTGAGCTAATTCTTGACCTGTCACAAATGCTGTGTTCTCTCAATTTTTTTTCTTCTTTCCCTTATTTCCACCCAATGTTATCAGCAGCCCTATTTTCTTCCTCTTTTCATATGAAGAACTTTAGTCCCTTTTCTTTACTATAACAATTTTTTACGTGGTCACTGAAGAGAGTTCCAGGGCTTCACATCTGAAGTATTTCATTTCTAATACAAAATAAATAAATGTGGAAGGGATGTTGAAAAGCTACGCTGGTAGCTTATCCAAAAGAATAGGCCTTGAATGAGCCTTCATGAAGGTGCTTATGGCCAGCAGACAATGTATGTTCACAAGGAGAATGAATTCAGGCAGTTTCTCCTGACATAAAAAGGAAGAAGTCTGAATGTCTACGTTAACTGAGCTATCTGAATCACCTTCACTAGTAGGCTCACTTGAGCACAGGATAAATGATGTGAAACAGACTAGATTTATATTCAAGGTGAATAATAACTAATAATTCAGATTCCAGAGGTTTTGAATATCTGTAAAATCAAAAGAACTGACTATTAGAAAAAGTAATATATATATATTTTTTAACTGGACTAAAACACTTCTACATACATTTCATGGGTAAATACTAGCTTATTATTAACTCAGCATATCAATATAAACATGCTCAGAGTGGCATTTCTATGCCTCTGATAATACTGAGGTGGAATGTAAATATTTCAGCAGTCCATGCACTCACAAAAGCAGCAGAAAATCATAGGCAACTAACACTACACCATTCTCACTTGCTTCCTGGGTAAGCTAAGGAATTTCTCTGGCTTTTTCTTCCCTGCTGAAATGATGAGACTGGACAATGAGGGGTCATTATTACTTTAGGGGCAAATTAATAAGAAACTATATAGAAAACATTAAAAACATTTAGTATTTATACCAGTCTGCAATAAAACTGAATGGTGGCCCTTCTCTTAAAGGGGATAAATGCTTCAATAATGCTTAATGTTCAGTTTGCAGTCATTCATCTGGAATAGCAGAAACTCAGCAATACGATTATCAATCTAAAGAGTCTGATGACAGTTTTAATTCCATTAATAGTGGACTTTGCTGCTATGAGAATTTCTTATTCTTAATGCAATTTTTCTGCTTTGAGAAGTATAGAAAGACTCAATTTAAGTTACAAGCAATGTGTTAATTCATACTGCTTACGCTCTCTGTTTGGGAACTTTATTTGCAATTTCATAGTTAATGACTGTGCATGAATCTACCTAAAACTTGCTACAGCAACCTATGAAAGAAATGAATGGAAAAAGATTAAATACATTATTAAATACAAACCTGAGGATATTGGTCAGTGAGGTACATTTACACACATTGTAACATTTTAGATGGGTTGTTTTTTTTTTTTTTTTTTTTTTTTTTTAGAAAACTGTGATATTTATGATGGTTCAATGATGATACGTTTTTGACAATGCTATCATTAGCACTGTTTTAAAACATGGTGAAAACTGTCATAGCTACTGGCATTGAATTCCTTAACTTTTTATTTAGGAAAGAAAGTCCGTAGCTTGTGTGGAATTTGCATGATAGAAAAGAGGAAAGTAATATAAAGAAATCTGCAGTTGAAAAGCGAAGTAAGTCTGCTTTTGATTTATGATTTAAAAGAAATTACTCTGCTTGTCAGACAGTTTGGTTAACATGATGATTTTAGTGTGTTTTTTTGGTGTTTTTTTTGTTTGTTTGTTTTTTTAGGGAGCATAGTGTTATTTGTAAGACATCTGCTAACTGAAGAACCATTCAGGAGCATGGGTTGTATAAGAAACGGTGTTGTCAGCAGGAGCAGGACAGCAATTGATAGCCTTTACTTTGCTCTGATGAGTCTGCAGCTTGAGTACTGTGTTTGATTTGGGGAACTACAGGCCTGTTAGTCTGACCTCGGTGCCAGGGAAGGTGATGGAGCAGATTGTCGTGAGGGAGATCATGCGGGACGAATGGGGGACCAGGCCTAGCCAGCATGGGTTCACCAAGGGCAGGTCCTGCTTGACCAACCTGATCTCCTTCTATGATCTAGTGACCCGTCTGCTAGGCAAGGGAAAGGCTGTTGATGTGGTCTACCTAGACTTCAGCAAAGCCTTTGACACTGTCTCCCACAGCATTCTCCTGCAGAAGCTGGCAGCCCGAGGCTTGGATGGGTACACCCTTGGCTGGGTAAGGAACTGGCTGGAGGGCTGGGCAGAGAAGTTGTGGTGGAATGGAGTTAAATCCAGCTGGCAACCGGTAGTGAGTGGTGTTCCCCAGGGGTCGGTGCTGGGGCCTGCCCTCTTCAATATCTTTATTGATGACCTCAATGAGGGCATCGAGTGCACCCTCAGTAAATTCGCAGATGACACCAAATTGGCTGGAAGTGTGGATCTGCCTGGGGTTAGCGAGGCCATACAGAGGGATCTGGACAAGCTGGATTGCTGGGCTGAAGCCAATGGGATGAGGGTCAACAAGGCCAAATGCCGGGTCCTGCACTTCGGCTACAACAACCCCAGGCGACGCTACAGGCTTGGGGCGGTGTGGCTGGAGGACTGTGTAGAGGAAATGGACCTGGGGGTATTGATTGATGCTCGGCTGAACATGAGCCGACAGTGTGCCCAGGTGGCCAAGAAGGCCAATGGCATCCTGGCTTGCATCAGAAACGGTGTTACAAGCAGGAGCAGAGAGGTGATCGTTCTCCTGTACTCAGCACTAGTGAGGCTGCAACTTGAGTACTGTGCCCAGTTTTGGGCCCCTGACTGCAAGAAAGACACTGAGGCCCTGAAGTGTGTTTAAAGGAGGGCAACAAAGCTGGTGAAGGGTCTGGAACACAGGGCTTATGAGGAGAGGCTGAAGGAGCTGGGAATGTTGAGCCTGGAGAAGAGGAGGCTCAGGGGAGACCTCATTGCTCTCTGTAATTTCCTGAAGGGATATGTAGTGAGCTGGGGGTCGGCCTCTTCTCTCATGCCATTAATGATAGGACCAGAGGGAATGGTTTCAAGCTACGGCAGGGGAGATTCAAGCTGGACATTAGGAAGCATTATTTTTCAGAAAGAGTGGTCAGGCACTGGAATGGACTGCCCAGGGAGGTGGTGGAGTCACTGAGCCTGGGGGTGTTCAAGGAAAGACTGGATGTTGTGTTGAGGGACATGGTTTAGTGGGCACTATTGGTAATAGGTGAACGGTTGGACTGGGTGATCTTTCAGGTCTTTTCCAACCTTGGTGATTCTATGGTTTTGAGCCCGTTACTGAAGCAAGACATTAAGGTCTCTGAGCATGTCCAGGGAAGGACAACGAAGCTAGTGAAGGGTCTGGAGCACAGGCCTTATGAGGAGTGGCTAAGGGAGCTGGGATTGTTTCTTCTGGAGAAGACAAGGCTTAGGGGAGACCTCATTGCCCTCTGCAAATACTTGAAAGGAGACTGTGGTGATATGGGGTTTGGCTTCTTCTCCTGTATAGCTAGTGGTAGGACTAGAGGGAATGGCCTCAAGTTGCTCCAGGAGGTGTTCAGGTTGGACATCAGGAAAAATTTCTTCTCCAGAAGAGTGACCAGGTGCTGGCACAGGCTGTCCAGGGAGGTGGTAGAGTCACTGTCACTGAAAGTGCTCAAGGAACATCTAGATCCTGAAGGATGGGGAGGGCTGGGAGAAGGTCTCTGCTCAATACTGCTGGCAACCCTCCCCCCCCCGCCTACCTTGGGTCCCCCTAAGCAATAGGTTTGCAGCATTGGATGTTAAAAGGGAGGTAAGTGAGGAAGCATGGGAAGGCTCCCCTGGGAGGTTACCAAGAGTGAGGCAGTCTACTCCATGTGTTGAAACTGCCTCTGTCAGGAAAGAAACAAGGGTGGTTGTGATAGGTGACTCCCTTCTCAGATGAAAGGAGGGTTCCATTTGCAGACCAGAACCAAGCTGCAGGGAAGTGTACTGCCTTCCTGGGGCTCAGGTCAGAGATGTAACTAGAAAACTCCTGAAACTGGTTCATTCCACTGATTACTTCCCACTACTCCTAGTTCAGTGGGCAGTGATGAAATCACTCTGAGAAGCCTATGCAAAGAGACTTCAGGGATTTAGGGTGAATAGCTCAAGAAGCAGGATCCAAATGGTACTTTGTTCTACACTTTCTGGGGCTGTGAAGGAAATGGAGTGGGCTAGGAAGAGACAGGTAATGAATAATTGGCTCAGAAGCTGATGTCAAGGTGGGAATTTTTGGGACTTTTGACCATGGGGAAGTTTACTTGGCCCCTGGCCTGTTGTCCGTGGAAGGAATTCACCTGTCACAAAGGAGGGAAATGAATCCTAGTGCAGGAGCTAGCAGGGCTTATCGAGAGAACTTTAGTTATTATGGGGAAAGGGGACAAAACAGGGCCCACCAGTGATAAGCTTTGGGGAAAAATGCTGGAGGTGAGGCAGATGTCTCAGATGCAGTGCGCCTACACCAATGCATGCAGCATGGGCAATGAAGAGGAGGAGCTGGAAGTGATTGTGCGGCAGGCTGACTAAGATCTAGTTGCTGTTACTGAAACATGGTGGGACTACCCCAAGACTGGAGTGCTGAGATGGATGGCTACAGGCTTTTCAGAAGGGACAGACAAGGAAAGAAGGAAGATGGTGTGGCTCTTTATCATTCTCAACCCCAAGCTCTTCAACATCAAACCATTCTTTAATATAAAGTTGATTGTCTATGGATAAGGATAATGAAGAAGGCTTGTAGGGCGACATCTTGGTGGTGGTCTGTTATAGACCACCTAAGCAGGATAAGGAGACAGACAAGGCATTCTATAAGTAGCTTGTAGTAGCTGCACAACTGCCTGTGCTCATTCTTGTGGGTGACTTCAACTTCCCTGATATATGCTGGAAATATAATAGAGTGCAGAGGGAGCAGTCCAGGAGGCATCTAGAGTGTGTGGAAGACAGCTTCTTTACACAGCTGGCATGAGAGCCTACCAGGGTGGTGCCCTGCTAGATCTGCTCTTCACTAACAGAGAAGGACTGGTGGGGGATGTGTGAGGACTGTCTTGTGTAGAGTGTCTATGAAGTTATAGAGTTCTTGTATCAATTGGACAGATCAATATGATGGGAAAGGTGTTACAACAAAGGTGTGATGATGGAAGGACCAGTTACAACAACACCAGGCAGCCCTACAGGCTTAGGGAGGAGTGGCTGGAAAGCTGCCTGATGGAAAGGGACCTTGCTGGACTGATGGACAGTCAACTGAAGATATGCCCACAGTATACCCAGGTGGTGAAGAAGAAGGCTAATGGCATCCTGACTTGTATCAGGAATGGTACGGTGAACAAGACTAGGGAAGTAACCCTGCTTCTGTGCTCAGTGCTACTGAGGCCCAACCTCCAGTACTGTGTTCAGTTTTGGGCACCTCAGTATGGAAAGGGCATCAAGGTGCTGGAGCACGTCCAAAGAAGAGCACCAAGGATTGTGAAAGGCTTGGAGGATGTGTCCTATGAGGAGAGACTGAAGGAACTAGGGATGTTTAGTCTGGGGAGGAGGAGGCTGAGGGGAGACCTTATCGCTCTCTTTGAATACCTGAAAGGTGATAGCAGTGAGAGCGAGGTTGGTCTCATCACACTGGTGACAGGATGAGGGAAAATAGCCTTAAGTAGCACCAGGGAAGTTTGGATATTAGGAGAAACTTCTTTACAGTGGCAATCAGTCCTTAAATGAGGTCTAAGAGAGCTGGAGCCAGGCTCTACCCCTTCTGGTTGCACAGGTGAATTGCCTTCAACTGTGCTCTCAGGGCTGACTGGGTCTTTTCCCCAGATGCTCAATCAGTGGTTCAGGTTGTGACTTTACACTTCCCATGCAGTTGTTTATTCTTGGTGGTGTCAGGAGAGTGACTAGCAAGACTACTATCTTGAACTTCCAGAGGGCAGACGTTGACCTGTTCAGGATACTTGTTACAGGCTTCCTTGGGAGTTGCTCCTGAAGATCAAAGGGGTCCAGGAAGCCTGGATGCTCCACAAGATGATAATCTTAAACGCACAAGAACAGGTTGTTCCTGAGTGCTGTAAGGTGAGCTGGAGAGGAAGAAGGCCGGTGTGGATGAACCAGGAACTTTTGTTGAGACTCTGGAAGGAGGGACAGGCTACGTGAGGAGACTACAAAGAAGTTGTGAGACATGAAGGGAGGAAGTTAGAAAGGCAAAAGTCTGGCTTGAACTCCAAGTGGTGACTGCAGTGAAAGAGAACAAGAAATCCTTTTACCAGATATATTTATGGTAAGAAGAAGAATTTTCATCCTTTATTTGATGCCGCAGGGAACTTGACCACTGTGGATAAGGAAAAGGCTGAGGTTCTCAATGACACCTGCCTTTAATAATTGGATCAGTTATCCTCGGTGCACTTTACACCATGACTTGGAGGTCTAGAATGGAATGCAGAATACACTCCTGATGATTCAGGAAGAGGCAGTTAGAGAGCTGCTGGACTGTCACAAGGCCATGGCACCAGATGGGCTCCACCCTAGGGTGCTGGTGGAGATGACTGCTGAGCCACTTTCCGCTATCTATCAGCGTTCCTGGTTATCTGGAGAGGTCCCAGAGGCTTGAAGGCTTGCTGATGAAACTCCCATTTACAAGAAGGGCCATAAGGAGGGTCTGG